ACCACCATTATTATAGACTGTTGAAGCTACAGCTCCTTGAAGGCCAACGTTACCTCCTCCGTAGGTAAGCCTGATTTTTCGTCTTACCAATTCCCATCCTAGATCAACCGATGTAGCCATGAACCTTGGATTGCTACCAAAAGCATGACTACCAAGTAGACCAACGAATCTTATGGTATTAGGAAGAGCTCGAGAAGTTCCTTCCATAATGTGAGAATGTGAGACGCTCTTGCCACAATTTGATATATATAGACTCTGAAACTGGACCATTGATGGAAAAGTAATTATCACCAGCCTAAAAACGTACAGGAAAGTGGATTCGCTCAGACAAGAACGTACTCGCCAATACTAAAGTCTACTGACGACATGACATATTGAGACTAATGAATAGTTAGGTTCATTGTCCTGAAATACATTCAAATCCGAGATGAAAAGTCAAAATGACTATTTATCTAAGACAATGACCTCTTGAGTAACTTCCAAAGAGTGAAACATTAAAGGATGAAAACCTACGATTTGCCACAATAACTCGCAAATGCTATATTCGTATCTTGTGACTTATATCCTCAAAATATTCAAACTTGCTATGTTAATTACACACTTGAAGTATCTCACTTGATCAATCTTGAAAAGATTGAATTCTATTTTTTTTTAAAACGCATGTATCAGTAGAATCCCAAACGTATTAGAATACGACTATGCGTATAACTTATCATGTTTTTGATAATAGGTAAACCAACTCTTGTGTGAAGTAAGAATATTAGTGATATGACGAATACACTAATATTATAATTTTCGAGCACGAAGCTCTATCTTAATTATTGAGAAAGTCTGAAATTTCAAGGTAGTTCTGGAATCATCAATTAGAAAATCAGTATTCAAGAATGACTACATATCATCTTGATAAGACAAATAGTGACAAAATAGCAAGTGTTATCAAAACATTCATCCAATCATTACAATGTGATAAAAAAACATATCTCATTATTATACATAAGTGTGATATATGTGTTAACTATTACCAACAAGCTTAAATCAGCTTATTGACATTACGTTAGTCAGAACAACTCTATTAAGGATCGCTAATGAGAGTTCAAGTTTTGAAAGAATAATTACGTATTCATCTAGAAAATCTAGAATGATGACTATAGTAATAGTCATTCCTCAAAACACCGTTATGCAAAAACGTCAAAAAAAAACAATTCGTTCGAGCTTGTAGACAAAGAAACGTAATTTGTGAAACCAACATTCCAGACAAAGTCGTCTGAGGATGATTTTAAAAAGAATAAAAAAACAGAATTTTGTAAACTACCCCACATTAAGAAACGAAATCCATACAAGAACTTTTGGAAAACTCCTTCACCGCGTCAATAGCAAGTCAAAGAGTATATTCGACGAAAATCTTCAAAAAAAAAAGAAATCCAAACATGTTACATCTATCATCCACGTATATCCTTCTAAAAAAATGTCATAATCAATGGAGAACATTACATAAGCATGACACTCAACAAGACAAAGAGAAAACAACTTTTCAAAAATAGTGTTTTACAAAAAAATGGATATTCATTATTTTGTACATCATCATTTTAAATGACTTCACCTAAGGAAATTTCAGGGACGAAATTTCTTTAAGGGGGGAAGAAATGTAACGCCACAAACTATGGCCTAAAATTTATTATAAAACAAAAGTAGTTTTTGGTCCAATAAGTAATATTAATATGTTTGACCAAAAATAAATGGATTTTCAAAATAATGACTTTTTTTTGTTAAAAACTTATTTTTATGGATATGTCTTAAAGAGACGAATCCAACGGTACATTTTATGAATCCATCTGATTTATAGATTTCAAGTTATGACAATTTTAAATATTAAAATTTGTAACTTTGACCCATAAAATAAACTCAATTCAAAAGTGATTTCATCAGATTAGAAATCATAATTTTGACACTTGACAACATCTTATTTATCATTTGAATTTAATTGATACATTTTATCTCATTCATATTATTAAATAATTTATGACCGAGACAGACCCGAACACTAAGAAAAATAAAAGTTCTCAGAAAAATATTTTGATTATGTCAAACTTCTAGTTTTGACAGTCTGATTCCAAAAACACAATCCGTTTCCAATTCGGAACAGTTTGGACGAAAAAGTGTGTACCGTTCGGGATAAATTTATCAGTTTGGACTAAAAGCCAAAGTTTATTTCTCCTCAAATCTTCACAAATCGGACAGCCACCTTAGGAGGAAATTTCCTAAGTGTTTTAAAAGTCTCTCCAGGCTTCACTTCATATCCTAATAAGCCAAATGACTTTGGCTATTAATGTCTATCCCAATTTCCTAAAGCCAATTACAACACAACTCCTTTGTCCTCCTCTCTCTCTCTCACTGTCGGCAACTTCAAGGAGAGAAGAAAACAGCCTCCTCCATAGATGGTTCAAGAAGAAGAAGAAACAAGAATAAACCATCCATAGTTTCCAAATCCTGAGTTCCAAACGCAGCATCAACTTCTACGTAAGTTCTGAAATTTTCCATCCAATATCTCGAAATACTTTCTGAACCAAAGTTGTAGCCCCGGACGATACAAATCCAGCCCAAAAAAACGGATTGCAATTTCGTTAAGTAACGAAGAAGATATGTTCAAACTACCGGGACTGCGCCAGTGGTGGTGAGCTCCTCGGGTTAGCATGTGTTTCCTCACCAAATTCATATTATTTCATTCCAAATACTTACCATAAACTCTCCAACAATTATTAGGAACATATTGAAGCATATCACATCATGTGCATGCGTAAGAGATCATGCTTAATTGCGTCTCTTATAGCGTGATGTGCGGGACTTACTAGTCCGACATCACCCGTTCTGGGCTTAGTGTACGTACATGGTATTCAAGTTTCGAGTACCACCCCTACTTTTCTAGTCTCCCTTGAGAGACTAAGGCCGCGTGAGTTCGTCGTACCAAATGGGTGAATCTCATAGCGCAAGGGTGTCCTTGCTCGTTAGAATCATGCATCATGTTACCATCATCAAGTACAATTACATTGATTCCATAGACTTCATGTAATCATTATCAAGAACAATCAAATTGATTAAATGTGCCATCATGTAATTATCATTAAATATTTATCATCATGATTCATCAAATTGTGCATATGATATAATATGCCATATCATGAATATTATTATACTTTTTGTGGACATATATATGTAAATTTATATGTCTATGAATTATTCTACAATTCTAGCGTGGTACCACTCAGCGGTTTCGCTGAGCGTGTAGTTTGTATTTTTCGTTGACTACGCGT